TGTGGAGATGATCATTTTGACATGAAGGCAGATACCAGTCTGCCTTCACTCATCTTCAGTGTTTAGCATTATTGTAATTCCAGCCTCTGCAGAGGCTGAGGAAAGAGGATTGCAAGCTCAAGGATGCAAACTACCCTTACACCTCAGGGTCTGAGCTGTCTGTCTAATTAGAAAACCTGTGGGTGTTCTCACTGTGCTGGGAACATCCCCTCTCACCCTAGACTGTGACCTGTGCTTCAACTCCTGTACAACTGGGTGGTGCCTTTGGAAATTTACATTACTTGCATAGTATACTATGCTGAGCTTCTCTTTAGGTCCTGCACGTCTTGTTGCTAAATTTAGATGCAGCCTGCTCTTTCTTTCCTTTGTCTTGCAAAGGAGAATCAGAATTCTTTGGTTGCTCACTCAACCCCTCCCTACTTCTCCTGACTCTGATTGGTCTGTGGTTCTCTGAAATGTCCTGTTCTGCCCACTGTCTGTGTAAGGTATCTGCTTCTGTTGCCCCTTGCTGTTTCTGGATTTTTCTGGGGGTGACCCTCAACTGACCTTAGGTTGCAGCTTTAATCCCCTCCTTGTTGGCCCCTTATAGTTCTTTTTTGCTTTTTGGTATTGGGGATCAAATATGCCTCATAATCCTAGGCAAGCACCCTACCACTGAACTATGCCCCTAGCACCTTAGTAGATCTTCTTAATGTTTGTGGCTCTGTATCATTTAGAAAATGAAATAATTTTATTTTACTAAATTGTGAAAATAAAGGTTTTTTTTTTTTAAATTCAAGTGATGTAGAAAGATCTCATTAGGAAGCAGTCGTGAAAATCATAGTCTAATGTGACTCCAGTATAAATATTTTCATAGTTAATTTGAGGGTATCACCATGGGATTTGTGTTTAACATGCACATATAATACATAAATTTGCCTGAATGAAGTCACATTTTGTTCCCTGGTATTTTAAAATTTTGATTCTTATTTATTTATTGGCACCAGGAACTGAACCCAGGGGCACTTAACCATTGAACCATATCCCCAGCCCATTTTTTTTTTTAATTTTTTAATCAGAGACAGTGTCTCACTAAATTGCTAAGGGCCTCATAAATTGCTGAGACTGGCATTGAATTCTCAATCCTCCTGCCTCAGCTCCCCTAGTGGTTGACTTCCAAACATGAGCCTCTATTCTTGGCCTGTGGATGACCTTCTTAGAAGGGCTTTAAAGTCCAGTGTGGGGAGAGATGCTGAATCTAGCACAAACTCCTGGCCTTTCATTTCCTTGTGAACACAAGGGTGGTGGTACCTGTATCACGAACTTCTTCTGTGGAGTGAAGGGATTATAATTTAAAATTTTTAGCATCAGAAGAACTCTTGGTGGGTGCAAAGGGATGGAAACTATCCTTATGCCTCAGGGTCTGAGCTGTCTGTCTTATTAGGAAGCCTGTGGGTGTTCTGGCTGTTCCAGCAACATGCCCTCTCCCCCTAGATTGTGACCTGTGCTTCAACTCCTGTATGACTGGGTGGCGCCTTTGGAAATTTACATTATTTGCATAGTATACTATGCTAAGCATTCTCTTTAGGTCCTGGATATTTTGCCGCTCAATTTAGATGCAGCCTGCTCTTTCTTGCAAAAGGGTCTTTCAAAGTTGCTTAGGGCTGCACTATGTTGCCGAGGCTAGCTTTGAATTTGCACTCTCCACCCTTAACCTCCCAAGCCACTGGGATTACACACGTGCGCCATCGCACCTGGCTCTTTCCCTGCTACTGTATGTGACAGTTTGTCTTAAGGTTTTCATTTCAGTAAATGGAAACACAAATAACTTAAAGAACATTTGTGGAGCATTTTCTTTTTTTTTTTAGTTTTGATGGACATAGTACCTTTATTTTATTTATTAATTTCTAAATGGTGCTGAGGATGGAACCCAGTGCCCGATACGTGCAACATGAGCACTCCTCCACGGAGCCACAATTCCAGCCCTGGAGCATTTTCGATATTCACAAAAGTTGAGAGATTGTGCTTTTGCCACTTTGCCCCTCTTCAATAGTTCTCCATGCATGGCCAGCCAAACCATTGCATTAAATGTTCTATTGTGTATCTCTTTGGGGCTGGGTGTGTGGCTCAAGTGCGGGGCACTGGGTTCGATCCTCAGCACCACATTAAAAAAAATAAAATAAAGATGTTGTGTCCACCGAAAACTAAAAAAAAAAAAATATTAAAAAATTCTCTCTCAAAAAAATGTTCTATTGTGTATCTCTCAAAGCTAAGTCTTCATAAAAACTGAAGACTATCAACAGTAATTCATTATTATTGTCACACTGGTGATGTTTGGATTTCCTTAGTTGTCTCAAAACGTGAAAAGTTTGTCTGTCCCGTGGTCTAAATAACTTCCCAAAGGTTGAGTTGATATTTTGTTTGGATGCACTCTAATTTACTCCACCCTATGGAGGGAGTGGTGACACCAGAAGTGTACCATTAGTGTGTTGAAACTTATCTCTTAGGGGGAGGACCCTTCGACCATGAGGGTGGAGTCCACACCCCAGGATATGAATGTGGCTATGTAAAGGAGGTTCAAAGTGATTCTCCCTTTTGTGAGGAGCCTGCAGAAAGGGGTCTTAAGTAATTTGGAAGCTGTGTTCAATCTCCAACCTCTACTCCTGCAAAATGGTAAGAAATGAATGGTTGTTTGTAAAATAGAGATGCAATGGGATTTTGTTTTAGAAGCCTGAATGAGCCAATGCACAGATATTTCTTCATTCTAGTCTGCCGTTGTTTGTTTAAACTATTTTTGCTAATGGGGATTGAGCCTAGGACTAGTTTATCACTGAGCTACATCTTCAGTCCATTTTTGTAAAAATATATTTTTAGTTGACAATGAACCTTATTTTATTTGTTTATACGTGGTGCTGAGAATAGAACTCTTTATCTCACACATGGGAGGCAAGCGCTCTACCACTGAGGCATTAACCTCAGCCCCGCTTTTTACTTTTGAAGACAATGTCTTCCTCAGTTGCTGAAGCTGGCCTCAAACTGGGATTCCTCCTTCCTCAGTTTGCAGAGTTGTTGGAATTAAAGGAGTGTACCTCTGTAACGGGCTGGACATTCATTCAGTTGTGCGCACTTGTGGGTGTGTGTGTGTTTGATACTGTGGATTCAACCGAGGGGAGTTTTCACCATTAAGCCACAGCTATGTGGTTTTTTTGTTTTTCGGTTGGTTGTTGTTCTTTTTTACTGGGGATTGAATCTAGGGCGCTTAAGCACTAAGCTATATCCCCAGCCCTTTTAAAATATTTTATTTAGAGACAGGGTCTCACTGAGTTGCTTAGTGACTTGCTAAGTTGCTGAGGCTGGCTTTGAACTCACAATCCTCCTGCCTCCCGTCCTGAGCCACTGGGATTACTGGTGTGCACTACCTTGCCTGATTCAGCCATGACAATTTTTATTGCTTATTTTGGCAGAAGGTCTGAATTTTCAGGCTGCTCTCTAACTTTCATTCCTCCTGCCTTAGTGCCTTAGTTCCCTCTCAGTTGCGGAGAGGGGATTACAGATGGTCACCACTGTGCCTATCTCTCAAGTTTTTTAATGAAGACTTTTCCTTTAAAATGTTTATGATAATGGTAATCTTTTGTATAGTAAGCTGTATTGATGATTGGTGCTGGTAGTAATGTTTCCACAGGAGCGTCACTATTGTACATATATCTTTTGTTTGTTTGGGGGCCTGTCCTGTTGTTTGTGCACTGCTTTGTGGTTCTTTTATTATTACTTTTTTTCTGAAACTAGAAATTGCACCCAGGGGTGATCTACCACTGAGCTTTATCCCTGGCCTTTTTAAATATTTTGTTTAGGGGTAGACTAGCCTGGAACTTTTCATCGTACTTCCTCACCTCCGGAGATGTTATTTCATATTTGTTGTTGTTGTTTGTTTTCTTTTTCTGGAAGAGGGTCTTCCTATGTTGTCCAGGCTAACCTTAAAGTTTGGGGCTCAAGTTGTCCTCCTGTCTCAGCTTTCTGAGCAGCTGGGACTAGAGGCTGGTACCTTCTGCGTCCAGGTTTAGGTTTTTGGCTTTTGTTTTCCTTATAATTTTCATCCAAATAGAGGTTTGACTCCAGTTGGGTAAAGCGTTTCATCATTTAAAAGAAGGTATCAGGAGAGTTTTGCAATTTTATAACTGTAGAGCTTGCATGAGAGTTTATTCCTAGGTTTTATAAATTTTAACAATTGCTGTTTTCTGTGCTGAGGGTCTAGGGTAAATGTTGAGCACGTGTGGAGGCCCGGGGTTTAATGCCCACTGTTCAAGTGCAGCGCCACGCCAACCACTCCTCCAACCCCTCACCTCCTCCTCTATTTCTAAAGAGTTTTTCCCCATTGTGTTCTAACTGGTTATTCTTGTTTATAAAGATATTTGTTTTCTTGTATCTTTAGGACTTAATTTAATGAATCATAATATTACATGCTCTATTTTTGGCGGAACTGGGGATTAAATTCAGAGCTGCTCTCATTGGACAACATTTTTTTTCATTTTTTTTACTTTTTTAATTTTAAGATGGTGTCTCCCTCAGTTGCCAAGGCTGGCTTCAAACTTTGGTTCCTTCTTCTTATTTTGCCGAATTGCTGGGATTAAATGAGTGTACCTTTTTAACCAGCTGGACATTCATTGTGTGTGTGTGTGTGTGTGTGTGTGGTGTATGTGTGTGTGTTTGTTTGATACTGGAGAAGATTGAACCCAGGGGAGTTTGACCACTGAGCCAACATCCTCGGCCAGTTTTGTATTTATATTTAGAGACAGGGTCTCGCTGAGTTGCTTAAAGCTTCTCTAAATTTCTTACACTCATTTTGAATTTGTGCTCCTCCTGCCTCAGCTGTGCCACTATGCCAGCCTGTCCTGTTGTTTGTGAACTGCTTTATGGTTCTTTTTTTTTTTTTTTTCTGGAACTAGAGATTGGACCCAGGAGTGATCTACTGAGTTTTATCCCAGGCTCTTTTTATTTTTTATTTAGAAGCAGACTAGCCTGGAACTTTTCATCCTTGGCCTCACCTCCGGAGAGGAGTTATTTCATATTTGTTGCTTCTTTCTTTCTTTCTTGTCTTCCTATGTTGTGTAGGCTAGCCATCAAGTTTGGTGTCAAGTTGTCCTTCCGTCTCAGTTTTCTGAGCAGCTGGGGCTACAGGCTGGTGCCTTCGGGGTCCAGGTTTAGGTGATTGTTTTTTGTTTTCCTTATGATTTTCATCCAAATAGAGGTTTGGCTCCAGCTGGGTGAAGTTTTTTATAGTTTCAGTAAGGCTTTGCAGTTTTATAACTGTAGAGCTTGCATGAGAGTTTATTCCTAGGTGTTATATATATTTTAATAATTGCTGATTTCTGTGCTGAGGATATAAGGTGAATTTTGAGCACGTGTGGAGGCCCAGGCTTTATGCCACGCCAACACCCCTCCAACCCTTTAACCCCTCATTTATTCCTAATGAGTTTTCCCCCATTGTGTTCTAACTGGCTATTCTTTGTTTTCTAGCATTTTTATGACTTAATGAATTATAATATACATGCTCTCTTTTTGGTATAACTGGGGATTAAATTGAGAGATGCACTCACGGGCTAGCTTTTATTTTTTATTTTTTCTGTTGAGGATTTAGGGGTTGAACATAGATATTTTTCTGCTACGGAGATACATCCCAAGTCATTTTTACTTTTTTTTAAGTTTTTTTTTTTTAATTGTACTTGGACCCACTGCCTTTATTTTATTTTTATATGATGCTGAGGATGGAACTCAGTGTCTGGCATGTGATAGGCAGGCCACAACCACACCCTCTTTTTACTTTTTAAGACTATGTCTCCTTCACTTGCTGAAGCTTGCCTCAAACTGGGATTCCTCCTTCCTCAGTTTGCAGAGTTGTTGGGATTAAAGAAGTGTACCTCTGTAACCAGCTGGATTAATTTTCTTGTGTGTGTGTGTGTGTGTGTGTGTGTGTGTCTGTGTGTTTGATAATGGTCATTCAACACAGAGGAGTTTTACCATTAAGCTACAGCTATGTGGGGTTTTTGTTGGTTGGTTGGTTGGTTTTTTGTTGTTATTATTTTTCCTTAGGGATTGAATCCAGGCTGCTTAAGCACTGATCCACATCCCCAGCTCTTTTAAAATATTTTATTTAGAGACAGGGTGTCTCACTGAGTTGCTCAGTGACTTGCTAAATTGCTGAGGCTAGCTTTGAAATCACAATCCTCCTGCCTCACCTCCGGAGCCGCTGGGATTACTGGTGTGCACTACTTTGCCTGGTTCAGCCATGACAATTTTTATTGCTTATTTTGGCAGAAGGTCTGAATTTCCAGGCTGCTCTCTAACTTTCATTCCTCCTGCCTTAGTGCCTTAGTTCCCTCTCACTGACTAAGAATGGATTACAGATGGTTACCTCTGTGCCTGGCTCTCATGTTTTCTAATGAAGACTTTTCCTTTAAAGTGTTTATAATAATCAATGGTAATCTTATGTATAGTAAGTTGTATTGGTGATTGTAGTAATGTTTCCATAGGAGTGTCAACTATTGTACATATATCTTGTGTTTGTTTTTTGTTTTGGGGCCTATCCTGTTGTTTGTGAACTGCTTTATGTTTTTTTTTTTATCATTATTTTGGGCGGGAACTAGGAATTGGACCCAGGGGTGATCTACCACTGAGCTTTATCCCTGGCCCTTTTTATTTTTTATTTAGAAGGAGGCTAGCCTGCAACTTTTCATCCTACTGTCTCACCTCCAAAGTAAAGTTATTTCATATTTGTTGTTGTTGTTTGTTTTCTTTTTCTAGAAGAGGGTCTTCCTATGTTGTCCAGGCCTGCCTTAAAGTTTGGGGCTCAAGTTGTCCTCCTGTCTCAGCTTTCTGAGCAACTGGGACTTCAGGCTGGTACCTTCTGGGTCCAGCTTTAGGCATTCGTCTTTGTTTTCTTTATGATTTTCATCCAAATAGAGGTTTGACTCCAGTTGGGCGAAGTGTTTCATCATTTCGGGAAAGTTTTGCAGTTTTATAACTGTAGAGCTTGCATGTGAATTTATTCCTAGGTGTTATATATTTTTAACAATTGCTGTTTTCTGTGCTGAGGGTCTAGGGTGAATGTTGAGCATGTGTGGAGGCCCTGGTTTCATGTCTAGAGTTCACGTAAAGCGCCATGCCAACACCTCCCCAACCCCTCACCCACTCCTCTATTCCTAACAAATTGTTTTCTAACTGGTTATTCTTGTTTATAAAGATATTTGTTTTCTAGTATTCTTATGACTTAATTTAACAGATCATAATATTACATGCTCTATTTTTGGCGGAACTGGGGATTAAATTCAGAGTTGCTCTCATTGGACAACTTTTTTTTTTTCTGGGGGGAATTTTGGGGTTGAATCCAGAGATTTTTCTGCCACTGTGATAAATTTCAAGCCCTTTTTACTTTATATTTTAAGACAATGTCTCCCTCAGTTACCAAGGCTGGCTTCAAACTTTGATTCCTTCTTCCTTATTTTGCAAAGTGGCTGGGATTAAAGGAGTGTACATCTTTAACCAGCTGGACATTCATTGTTTTGTTTTGTTTTTTTTGCACTTGTTACCTGGGGATTGACCCAGGGGAGTTTGACCACTGAGCCACATCCTCAGCCAGTTTTTTATTTGTATTTAGAGACAGGGTCTCGCTGAGTTGCTTAAAGCTTCACTAAATTTCTTACACTCATTTTGAATTTGTGCTCCTCCTGCCTCAGCCTCCCTGTTGGGATTACACATGTGTGCCACTATGCCAGCCTGCCCTGTTGTTTGTGAACTACTTTATTTATTTATTTTTCCTGGAACTAGGGATTGGATCCAGGGGTGATCTACCACTGAGCTTTATCCCTGGCCCTTTATATTTTTTATTTAGAAGCAGGCTAGCCTGCAACTTTTCATCCTTGGCCTCACCTCCGGAATAGAGTTATTTCATATTTGTTGCTGTTTGTTTTCTTCCTTTCTTTTTTTTTTCTTTTAGAGGGTCTTTCTTCGTTGTGCAGGCTAGCCATAAAGTTCAGGGCTAAAGTTGTTCTCTTGTCTCAGCTTTCTGAGCAGCTGGGACTACAGGCTGGTTCCTTTTGCGTCCAGGTTTAGGTATTTGTCTTTTGTTTTCCTTATGATTTTCATCCAAATAGAGGTTTGACTCCAGATGGGTGAAGTTTTTTCTCATTTCAGGAAAGTTTTGCTGTTTTATAACTGTAGAGTTTGCATGTGAGTTTATTCCTAGGTGTTATATATTTTTAAGAATTGCTGATTTGTGTGCTGAGGGTCTAGGGTGAATGTTGAGCATGAGTGGAGGCCCTGGGTTTAATGTCTAGTGTTCACGTATAGGGAGGCCCAACCACCTCCGAGTCTATTCCTGATGAGTTTTCCCTGATTGTGTTCTAACTGGTTTTTCTTGTTTGTAAAGATATTTGTTTTCTAGTATTCTTATAACTTAAACAATGTCTTTTAATATTTTTTAAGATTATAGATTGACACAATACCTCTGTTTTTGTATATTTTTATGTGGTGCTGAAGATCAAACCCATTGCCTCACATATGCTAGGCAAACACTCTTCCACTGAGCTACAACCCCAGCCCACTTAAACAATTTAATGAATGATAATAAATGTTTTTGGTGGGACTCTGGGTTGAATTCAGAGCTGTAGTCATGGGCTAACATTCTTTTTTTTTTTCTTGTGAGGATTTAGGGGTTGAAGCCAGATATTGTCTGTCATTAAGCTACAATCAAGTCCTTTTTGCTTTCTATTTTTTTATTTTTTATTTTTGTAAATATTTGTTTTTTAATTATAGGTGGGGACACAATAACTTTATTTTATTTCATGTGGTGCTGAGGATGGAACCCAGTGCCTCAGGCATGCCAGGCGAGTGTTCTGCCTCTGAGCCCCAGCCCCAGCCTTTTTTGCTTTCTATTTTAAGACAGTGTCTCCCTCAGTTGCTGAGACTGGTTTCAAACTTTGATTCCTCCTTCCTCTATTTGCAGAGTTGCTAGAAATGTGTGTACCTTATTAACAAGTTGGACATTCATTCTTTGTGTGTGTGTGTGTGTGTGTGTTTGATACTGGTGATTGAATCCAGGGGAGTTTTACCACTGAGCTACAGCCATTGAGATTTTTGTTTTGTTTTGTACAAGAGATTGAACCTGGGGCGCTTAAGCACTGAATCACATCCCCAGCCCTTTTTAAATATTTTTTTACAGATGGTCTCACTGATTTGCTTACTGACTAGTTAAATTGGTGAAAGTGGCTTTGAACTGTTAATCCTCCTGCCTCAGCTTCTAGAGCCACTGAGACTATAGTTTTCCACTACCTCGCTTGGCTTAGCCATGGCAGATTTTATTGCTTATTCTGGCATAAGGCCTAAATTGCCCAGACTGTTCACTAACTTTCTGTCTTCCTTCCTTATTCCCCTAGTGACTGAGAGGGAATTACAGATGGTTACCACTGTGCTTTGCTTTCATGTTTTTTGTTTGTTTTTCAATATTTTTTTTTTAGTTGTCAATGGACCTTTTTTAAAATTTATTTATTTATATGTGATGCTGAGAATCCAACCCAGTACCCCACACCTGCTAGGCAAGCTCACTACCACTGAGCCACAACCTCAGCCTTCTCCTGTTTTTTTTTAATTAAGACTTTTCAAGTGTTTATGATAATCAAGGGTGATCTTATGTATAATAAGATGTATCGGTGATCCTTGCTGGTAGTAATGTTTTCACATGAGTGTTGCTATTGTGTCTATATCTTTGTTTGTTTGGTTTTGGTACTGGGGATTGATCCCAGAGACACTGCATCACATCCCCAGCCAGTTTCTTATATTTTATTTAGACATGGGGCCTTGGTGAGTTGCTTAGGGCCTCCCTAAGTTGCTGAGGCTGGGTTTAAATTTGCATTCCTCCTGCATCAGCATCCCACATTGCTGGGATTACAGGGGGCCACGGGCTCTCTCTTTTTTTTTTAATGATTTTATAGCCTGCTATAGAAATTTGGTCTTTGCCTCTGTTTTAAGGGTTTAGTAAGCAATTGAAGCTTTTATTTAAGCAAGGTATTAAAGCATTTAATAGAGACAGAGGCAGTAAGAATATAAAGAATGTGGAAATTTCATCATTAGCCCATGAGTATATAAATTTTTCCTGTGAGATGAGTGCCTTCACAACACTCAGTTGTTTGGGTTTATGTTAAGGTCTGTAAGCAAGTCAGGATGGCGCCTGGCATTTTGCCAGAGAAATGTTAGAGTTCATAAACAACTCTGGATGGTGCCCGGCAAAATGCCAGAGGGAGTGGTTTGTGAAGTAACAAAAGCGAGCCATTAAGTGTGGAGATTCCTTATTGGTTGACTGATGTATCTGGTTTATGCTAATTAAGATAAGCTGTGTAAAATGTATAAATACCTCTGTTGTCCTACAATAAAGGGCTTCCACTCCTGCTGTATCAATCTATGTAAGTTGCTCGTCACTCCCCGGTTATTTTGCTGCAGCCGGACTCCAGCAGATGGTGGCCCGTTACGGGGAGCCCCGGGACACTCGGGGATAAGTGACGGAAAAAAATGCTGCCCGTTCAAAGATAGGACGGGAGCAATCTACTCGTCCCTAGGCAGATAGGGCAAGAGGAAAAATGGCCATTTTGAGAAAATGGAGAAGATTGATACAGTATGTTTGTGTCTTGTTTTGTCTCAGTGTATTGTTTTGTCTTTATGATGAAAATATGGAAGGGGTGAGAAGTAAATTGATAAGGGAAAGAGGCACCCCAGTGGAACCAAGAAGAGTTAGGACATGTGTTGATAAAAGCCTAGGAACTCTAGTCAGAAAGAAAAAGAAAGTTCAGAAGAAGAAGGATTATCAGGAAAAAAGTTGCAGCAAAATAACCGGGGGTGACCAGCAACTTACATAGATTGATACAGCAGGAGTGGAAGCTGTTTATTGTAGGACAACAGAGGTATTTATACATTTTACACAGCTTATCTTAATTAGCATAAACCAGATACTTCACAAACCACTCCCTCTGGCATTTTGCCAGGCACCATCCAGACTTGTTTATGAACTCTAACATTTCTCTGGCAAAATGCCAGGCGCCATCCTGACTTGCTTACAGACCTTAACATTGACCTTAACAGGTTTTCATAAAAGGCAGTGTGTATTCCTGATGTCTTAAACCTGAAAAGAGACTTCTAAAGTGCTTACATAAGCCTTGTTCTGAGATGTAAACAGGTTCTAGTTGAATCATCTGTATGGTATGAAATTGTCTGTTTGTCTTTAATTTACTAGGTGTAGATAGTAGAGATTTTCTTACCTTAATTTGCTAGACTGGGAATATATGGGTGCTCTACCATAGAACTATAGCCTCAGTTATTTTAAATTTGATTTTGAGACAGGGTCTCACTAAGTTTCCTACCTGGATTCAAACTTGTGATCCTCCTGCCTCAGACTCCCTAGTCACGGGATTCCATGACCACCATACTTAGCTTCCAACCTATTGTTTTATATATACCATTCATTTAAAATTTGGTAGTTTAGCTGAGTGTGGTGGTGCATGCCTATAATCTCAGCAGCTCAGGAGGCTGAAGCATGAGGATCACGACTTCAAAGCCAGCCTCTGCAATTTAGCAAGGTCCTAAACAACTCAGTGGAACCCCATTTCTAAATAAAACACAAAGTAGGGCTGGGGATGAGGCTCAGCGATTAGTTATTCTGGGTTTAATTCCTGTTACCTAAATAAATAAGTAATTAAAATTTTCTAGCTTGTTATGATAGAGAATGGTTTCCAAATTTCAAAATTAAAAGAATAAGATTAGTAATTTACTCATTTACCTTTATATACTTACTGGTCAAAAAAAAAAAAAACCCAATTATGCCATCATCCTAAGGTACTGGGCAGTGCATATATCACAATTTATAGTGAGAACAGCTTTATGCTACTCAACTAATTAGACGGAAGTTTGTGAGCATGGCACAGAATTCTTATAGTTTGTGCCACTTTTAGAAATTCTTTCCAGGTCATCAAAGTTGAAAATACAGTGGAATTGTTGTGTAGGTTTACAATGCTCAGAGGGGAGAGAATAATGTGAAAAAAGCCTCATAGAATACACCAAGTAGACAACATAGTAATGGTTTAACCACATAGTAATGGTTTCCAAAATTCTTAAAGCCTCCTTGTTCAATTAATATGGAGACAGGCATTGTGAAAAGTAAGTCTCATTGAAGCTGAGGTTTTCCTGTATAGGAGCAGTTCTTGGAGAAGCCAGCTTGACCACCTCGGTGGACAGTTACAATAACAGGTAAGGTCTCTAATTGCTATCAGTAGCAGGTGGTATTGGTGGGAGAGGCTTCTGAGATTAATTCGCAGTTGATGAGGCCTTGTTACTGCTTGGCTCTAGACTTTCAGAGAAGTGACATGGGCTTTCACATGACAGTGTGGCTCTACTTTAACCTAAACTCTCAAGGTGTCTGTCAAACTCTTGAGTTAGGATCTTTTCTGAAGCTCAGTAGTTTAGATCAGTCAGTACCTGACATGTGGGGAGTCTGATGGGACATATGAGGTCTGGCAACACATCATGCTCTAGCGAGGAGGGAACACACTCCCAAAACATCAAACTTTAGAAGTATTTAGAATCATTTCATAGTCACATAACACATGGCCCAGCACCAAAACCAAGGCACCCTCTGCCTTGGTTCCAGGATCAACCCATGGACAGGTGGACATAAGGTTCCATTATTCCAAGCCTGTGTACATTCTGGAGTCTGAAAAGGCTACCCAGGAGCTGTAAGGGGTAAGTGGGTGGAGAAAATGAGTTCTTAGAAGAAGAACCCGACTGGCCTGGTGGCCGATGCCTGTAATTCTAGTGATTGGGAAAGCTTAAGCACCAGCAATTGGAAGCAAGCCTCAGCAACTAACAAAATGCTGTTTCAAAATAAAAATGGCCACAAGTGTTGCTCCATGATAGAGTGACCCTGGGTTCCATCCCCAGCACTGTCCTCACCATTCCCCTCCAACCAAAAAAGCCTGGTTGCTCTTGCCAGCAGGACTGTGGGGTCCAGAAAGAGACGAAGCATTCACACCAGGTTCCCACTGATCACAGCTATTCTTTACAAGGTTGGCCTCCTCTCCACACTTCTTCAAAAATATTTTCCAACAACTTTATCTTACCCCTAAAGTTTGTTATTTTGATTAAAATTACATTCATATGACGTCTTGTTTTCAAAATTAATGTTTTTTTGACCCATTCAGGGCATGTGTTCACTCCAGTCACCACATGTGCCCCTTATTGAAGTTTGGCTCTGCATATTTTTTATGTTGTTTGTTCCTGAGGTTTTAACTTTTTATGTCTGTTGTGAAAGGGACACTTTTTTGTGTGGTGCTAGGAATTGAACCCAAGGTGGTGTGCATGCAAGGTAAGCAATCTATCAACTGAGCTATATCCCCAGCCCTGAAAGGACTTTCATACAATGTTATTGCTGATTCAGTTATTTTTCTAATGATTTTCATGAGAATAAGGAATGTTGGATTTTCATTCTTTCTTTCTTTCTTTCTTTCAGGTAGTAGAAATGTTCTTCACTACTACTGTCTGGTCCCTGGATGCTTGTGACCTTTAGGTCAGCCATGAGGCTGGTTATAGAATTCACTTGTACCTGTGTTAAACTCTTATTTAGGTCAAGTGGGTGTTGATCTTAAAAAATATGTTCCTGAGGCTATGAGGTCAATATTAGATTCAGGTTCTTAATGTTTATATTTGTGGTCTTGTCTCTAGCTGGCAATGTGGCCTCTTTTAATTTTTTTTTTTTTAGGTACTGAGGATTGAACCCAGTGGTGCTTAACTACTTATTCACCTACCCAACACTTTTTAAGTTTTTACTTAGAGACAGGGGTCTCATTAAATTGCTTAGGGCTTCAATAAGTTGCTGAGGCTGACATTGAACTCACAATCCTCCTGCCTTATCTTCCTGAGCTGCTGGAATTACAGGTAAGAGCCACCACTCCCAGCCTGGGGAAATTTTTTTCAGGTTTTTATGTCACTTTTAGACTTGTTAAAACCTCTGCCATTGTTGTTTCTGTTTGACCAATCCACCCAACCCAATCATGGCATTTTTCTCTGTACTTGAACTTTATTTCATTAGGAAATGACTACCTGTGAGTCAAATTTGGCCTGCCACATGTTTTTCTAAGTAAGGTTTTATTGGAACACAGTCATGGCTGCTTTCTTGGCACAGGAGCACAGTTGAGTAGTGGTGCAGACTGGATGACCCACAAGGCAGAATTATTTACTGGTTGGCCCTCCAAGGAGGCATTTTCTAGTCTGTGCATTCCTGTATCCTTCACTTCCTCTAGACAAGGCTTATGGCCTGTGTTAGTCAGGTTTTTGTCACTAACAACAAAGTACATGACAAGAACAACTAGTTTGAAAGTTTCAGTCCATGGTGGACTTACTCCATTGCTCCAGGCCCAAAGTGAGGCAGAATGTCATGGTGGAAGGGCATGATGGAGGAGTGCTGCCCCATTGTTGTTGGCCAGGAGACAGAAAGGGGAATGGGAAGAGGCCATAAGAAATATGGACCTATTCAGGACAGGTACCCAGTGACCTACTTCCTTCAATCATACCCCATCTGCTTATGATTACCACCCAATTACTCTATTCAAAATAAGATGATCTGATTTAGGTCACAGCTCTAAGTCTAATCATTTCACCTTTGAATAGTTCTGCATTAACAGTTTTTCAGGACAGTTCATGTCCAAATCATAATGTGATCCTTTTCAATCTAGAGTGTAGGGCTCTTGCTTCAGTAGTTTCTTTACCAGGCAAAATGCTGCTCTTAACAGGTTATAAGCTCTAGTGGGGGAGAGATTGGGAATAGGAAATAAATTAGTAGATGGTGCAGTAAGTTGCAAAGTTGTTGAGAGGATGGTTGAGAGGAAGCAGTGGGATAGTACAGTGGACACTGAGGTTCTTCCCAGGCCTGGCATACATGAGCTCTTCCATTTGTCCTTCATCTTTGATCCAAGTGAAACTGGACTTTTCACACCTCCTTCCTTCACCTCCCCAGCTGCAGCCAGTGCCCTTCTTGGTCTCTACAAACTGTGAGTACTCAGGTGAAGAACCTGCTGGACAAAGTCCTAGGGTGCGTGCAGCTGAAAATGTACACAGGGGTGTGTGGTTGGTGGTAAAGAGGGTCTGGAAGAGGGAATTGGAAGGGAAGTGTTGTTAGGTGGCCTGGACCACAAGGATGCAACAAGGTGGACCCTCTTTCTGTGTTAGACCTCTTGGTGGATCTCTTGGTGGTCTGTCTTACTTT